AGCTGAAAACCAGCTAGCAATTTATATAAGGTGTTTCGACCAGTTTATTAACGCCCCTAATCCAGAAGGTCCTTTGAAGATGGATTGCTCTCCTATTGTTGGATGGTAAATCCCCCAGCTCCATCTGATGTCAAGATGGACATATCTTGCAAGTGCAAGAGAAATGCATGTGCTACACAAGTCTGTTCATGCAAGAGGGGTTATTTGCCATGTAGTGACCTCTGCCAATGGTTATTTGCCATGTAGTGACCTCTGCCAATGTGTCCAAACTGTCCTGGTATGATTGAAAATGAGAATGATGTGGATGGGATGTATTCAAATGATAATCAGGATTTGGATGATTCAGATTATGAGTTGTATTGTTTTTCATATATGTTGTAAGTTTTTGATGAAAATATAAAAAATTATATGATGTAAATATGAAAGGTCTGGATTTAAATAATCCGATATAAATACGTTATGTTTGGATGTAAATAGTATGATGTCACGAGGAAAGGTTAAGATCTAAATAATATACATGAAAGGTTCAGATGTTTATATTGTATATAAATCAGTGGTGGGCCGTCAGGGCCTGCAAGGCCTTCTCTGAAGGCCTAAGAAAATATCTGAATCACAGACTGATGTTAATGATATTTTGTCCATAAAAAAGGTATTAAATATCTCTAAATAGTCTGTCAGCTTCCTTTCATAGCTTCTCCCCTGGTTGCGCTGCTTCCAGACATTTATTTTCATATAAAAGCATTTAACCAATCACATTTCAGACATCCTTTGTCGCTAGGCAGGGTCAAAGTCAAAGATGTCTGCCTGGAGGCCTTCACAATCCGTTCTGCAGGCCCCCCCCCAAAGAAAATACATGTCGAGTACACTGTTGCTTCAACCAATCAGATTTTAGGTTGGTGATGCCAGGGCCTGCGCGAAGGCCCAGGAAATGCCACCGTACCCACACCCGCTGATTGGATAGTCAGATATCCAATCAGGGCAAAGCTAGCAAACAAACCGAAATATAGTTGTGTTAGTTAGTGTAATAGCTATTTTATTATTTCGTGGCGGATTTACTGTCAAGACCATTTTCAAAACGGACTTTTCAAGAAAAGTAAGTGAGTAAAATGTTGTTTTTTTCCTAAATGGTATTGCGAGTTTATGAGGACATTATTGATGTTTTTGTTTTGTTTTTGTTTTTTTTTGGGGGGGGGGGGGGGGGGGGGG